ACATTGTCCAAGTCTATTTTTCCACCACTCGACCCAGCGGTCATAACGGTGGGCTTGACATCCGAGAGATAGCACTCTCGGGCCATCCTCTGATCTCCCCTTAGGGACCCGACTGTTCCATTATCCCTCTCAAACTTGAGCAACATAAGAGATGGGATTATAACAGCCTTGGAATTATTCAGGGTTGGTCGCCCCAGAATCATGTTGTAGGCCGAGAGTTCTTCTACTACCAGGAACCGAACTACCATGTGTCGTCCTTCCCTTTTTTCACCCAGGCGGATGGGTAAATCCACTCGTCCCACTGGGTGGACGACTCCTCCTCCAAACCCTACTAAAGGGTGGGGTGCCAGATGTATGCAATCAGTCTGATATTTTAGTTTCGACAAACATTTGCTACTGATGAGATCTGAGGAGCTTCCGGTATCTATGAGGATTCAGCCAAATCTCTGGTTGGCCACTTTACATTCAATAAAGATAGGGTCGTCATGCGGCCCTCTTACCCCTCCTAGATCTTCTTCAGTGATGACAATCTCAGGAAATGAATATTTGGAGGGTCGTTCTTGGTGAATGGAATTTACATCTAGCCGTCTGATATTGTCTTTGTTGCCCCTAATAGTGGGGCCACCTCCTGAGAAGCCGCCTGCAATGGTGTAGACGACTGCATCATCTGTATCGGAGATGTCGGCCTGTTGATTCTTTTTGGCCGACTGCTTTTTCGAGGAAGTGTTCCCCGTAGATTTCTTGACGTAAGTGTCAAGATCACCTTGCTCAGCCAGGCGGTCCAGATACCGCATGAGACTGATGCATTCATTGGTGTGATGACCAACATCTTCATGATAATCACAGAATTTTTCTTGGTTCCGGTTGTTTGCAGAACCCTTCATGGGGACCGGCTTCTCAATTGAGATCCGTCCCTTGATTTCCTTTAGGATAGATTGGCTATCCTTGTTAAACGCATACTTTGGGGAGTATGGTTTGTATTCTTTTTTCTTCTTCTGGGCCGGCTTTTTAGAGGAATCAGTTGCGCATACCTCTTTTCTCTTCTCGTCTTTGTTTGACAACTGTTTCTGTCGTCCTTCTCTTTTGTCGGACCTTTTCCCGTCTGACTGTTTTACCGAACTACAAAGATCAGTCGCCTGTATATAGGCTTCCGCTTCAATCAAGGCCTCTTGAAGAGTCGCCACCCTCTTTCGGACCAAATCAAATTTGAAGGTCGACCCGTCTTTGAGACCTCTGAAAAAGTCAGTGTAGGCTACCTCATCCGGTAACCCTTGAATCTGTATTCTCATCAGGTAAAACCGCCAGATGTAAGAACGAAGCCCCTCCTTCTCTCCCTGCTGAATTGTTCCTAAATCAAGGGTCGTCTTCTTCGCAGGGATGTTCATGGCGAAGTTGGAGGTGAATAAGTAAGCAAGAGTCCTGAAGTTATTTACACAACCAGCCGACAGGTTGCCGAACCATTGTTGTGCGATTCCTTTGAGAGTCGCTGGGAAACACTTGCACCAAGTGGGATCATCCAACCCTTGAAGGTACATCAGGTTGGTGAATGCCATCAGATGATCTCCTGGGTTAGTAGTGCCGTCATTTTTCACTTTGGCCGGCAGAGCGGCTTCAGTAATTTCCTTGGAGAAGGCCGACGGCTGTTCGCCAAGTCTAAGCAACCGTAGCTGCCAGTCCATAGGTTGGACATTTTTTGCTGCATGTCCACCAAACGGAGGTGGCTGCGGTACAAACGGTAAGTTTGGTACCGCCTAGTCGCTATGAAAGCCGGACTTACGGGAGGTGTCGCCTGACTGACTCTCATGATACGACTGAGTATGCCTCATCGAGGTATTGCGCAGACTGTCTTGGAAGTTTGAAGTAGAGGCCGACTCTGACAATCGGTCACTCTTCTTCTGCTCTAGCAGTAGCCGAGCATCTGTGTATGTTTTCCTCGACTCGTCCGCCTGAATATGACGAACAAGTTTCCTCTTTCCTGGAGAAGGAAAATGGTATTTTGTGAAATCAAGGGCAGGTGGCTCCCACTTCTAGATTTAGGATGAGGGGTCGCCTCTCGCCCTTGAACTGGCTTCCTCTTTCGTGAAGTGGAGGGTTTCTTAGCCGACTGCTCCTTGTCCAGAGCAGGCGGCTTCTTGTTGATCAACTCTTGAATTTCTCCCTTGAAGTCCCTCATGAAGGTCATGAGTTCGTTCCTTGTGATGGGAGCAGACCCATCAGTCGGCTGCTGCCGAACAGGCGGTGCGCCTGCTGGCTCAGTTCCAGTTTGGAGATGTTCCCGTTCCCTCCTTTCGATATGACGGGTACGTCGGGCCCTTAGGGTCCCGTCTGAAGCTGTGTGAGCTTCAACCTCAAATTCGTTCTCAGTATCATGGTCCGACTGAACTTGAGGGTCGTCTAGGGGACGCCTCTCTTCAGGAGTCGGTACAGACATGGATGCCATCTCAGAAGTACTCTCCCCACAGACGACGCCAAAATGTTTCGGGGTTTTCTGATGTCCTGCGGGAGAGTTACAATTCCGAGACTGGAACCGGACGCCTGTACCTGCAAAACAAACGGATGCTCCGGATGATTGGAGATCCGCCTCCGACGGTCAAGTTAGTACTTGATTAAGGAGTAATTAATGCGGAAATTAAAGTGATTGGGTCTCTCTAGGTGAGAGTGTTTAATGTGTGTAATCTGCGTAATCCCTCTTAATGAGGATTAAGGGGGGTATTTATAACCTCGGGAAACGTGCCAATCCTAGGTTTAGGTTAACCTTGGGCTGATTGGGCTTCCCTCGGAAGTTGGGCCTAGGTGGCCGACTTCTCCATTAGGCATGGAGTATGCCACGTGTCATGACATAATAGGTCCAGGGTGGACGAATAAGAGTGTGCCACGTGGCAAGCCCTGAGAGGTCCAATTGGGGGACACTTGTCAGGACCTGATTGGCCCACGTGGCGCATTCTGATTGGTGGGAGCAAAATCCCCTAATCAATAGTGATTTGAACTAGATTAGGATCATCTTTATTTCAATGATTGCATGAGAATGAGTTATTAAAGTGGAGTTTTTATAGATTGTGCTTCTTTGTTCTCTTGATTTGATTGTAACTAATAGGATGCATGAGAATGATCCTTATTAGTGTAGACCTCTTTCATTGATTTGCCTAGACTATTGCATGAGAATGTGTTGTTTAGGTAGAATCTTGTGTTCTTTGGCATATGTTTCATGATAATCACCATTATTCTCATCTTTATAATCATATTGGACACCCCCGTATCCCTAGAGTATTGATTTTAATCATCATTTTCTTGCTTATTTGTAGTTTTAGTGTTCTTACTCAACAAAACCAACAAAAACAATTCCCTTTTCACTCTTGCATTAGTGATATTTGATGTTGAATTAGCGTGCTTCCCTAGTGGTTCGACCCTTTACTTGCCACTAATTAGTTTAGTGTAGGTTTAGGTATTATAAATGATTAATTTGGTTAGGGTAGTAGCTTAACAACCTATTTAACCCACGATCAAATTTTGGCGCCGTTGCCGGGGAGGCGGCTTGTTTAGCGTTTATTATTGCCTTTGTTAGAGTCATTTTGCTTTCTTTTCTTTTTGTTTTTTTTGTTTTATCATCCTTGTCATTACTAATTGTTTGCTTAGCTTTGGTGTATTCTTAGGAGGTCTCAAGGAGCACCCTCACATCAAATTGACCACGAAATCAACCGAACCTTGAGACAAGTCCATAGGCTTTATCAAGACAAGGGAAGAGGTTTTGGTGATATAGTTGATAGTGAGAGTGATACTTACTCTTCAAGTTCACCACGCGAATCAATGGCGGGACAAGAGAATGATGTTTTTTTTCGTGAGTTCGGAAATTCGGAGGACTATGAGCTCACGGGAGGGATTTTGCTACCCGTCACGGAAACCAACTTCTCAATCCATCCACAATATACTCGAATGGTCCAATCGAAGCAATTTTCCGGAAGTGCAAGTGAGGAACCTATTGAACATTTGGACCGATTCCTTGAATTGTGCGCAATGATGCAAACCAATGAAGTGAGTCAAGACTACATTCGTATGCACCTTTTCCGGCAATCTCTTACTAGACGAGCAAAGAAATGGCTAAAGCAAGTAAAGCCTAACTCTCTCACAACATGGAGGGAGGTTGTAAAGGCGTTTTTGAAGCGCTTTATCTCCGAAGAGAAGACCACCGAAATGAGAAGGAAAATTGCATCATTCGAGCAAGAGGCCGATGAAAGTCTTGGTGAAGCATGGGAGAGATTCAAAGAGTTGGTGCAAGCATGTCCCCACCATGAGTAAAATAAAAGGTTGCTCATGCGGTTTTTCTACGACGGATTGGAGCCCATGTCAAGAGCCAATTTGGATGCGGGGACGGGTGGTCAATTAATTAAGATCCTTCAAAATAAAGTTGAAGCCACAATAGAAGAGGTAGCAAAGAATTACTCTTGGGGGGGCCGAAGAAGAAATACTCCAAAGAGAGGTGGTATTTATGAATTGGAGAAAGTTGATCAATTACAACATCAAATTGATTAACTAACAAAGGGCTTTCCAAGTTTAACACGAGTGTGAATGCAAGTTCAAGTGGTGAAGCAAGCTCTTCTCAAGTTAACTCTTTCTCTTGTCAAAATTGTGGAGGAACGAACCATGATACATCCTATTGTGGAGGTTTAAGCCCCGAACATGTAGCGGCATACAACACAAGGCAAGAGGGATTTAGAGGAAGCGGCGGTGGAGTAGCTTGGAGACAACCACTACCCGGGTTTGTACCTCAACCTCAACAATGGAACCAAAAATATCAACCTTCCTATAACTACAACCCTTAATATCAAAATCCACCTCCATCTCAACCCCAAAACCCAAGAGGAAGTTATCCAAGGAACAACCAATACAACAATCAAACCCAAGCACCTTAAAGAAATCATCAATAACAAGCACCTCAAGCGGAGCTAACTCAAACTCAACTCCTCCAAGCCATGCATGCGCAAATGCAATCTTTTGGGAAAAAAATGCAAGAGATAAGAGCTCACAACAAGATGGTTGATTCACAACTAGCTCAATTAGCCGAGAGAACTCCTTTCAATTCACCATCCACTCTACCCGGACAACCACAACCTAACCCATCTCACAATCCAAAACCAAATATATTCAAGGCGATCACATTGAGGTCGGGAACTTCCTATGAAGGGCCAAATAAAGGGGATAGTGAGGAAAAGAAGGGAGGAGAAGAGAGTGTGAATGAAAACAAGGGAGGTGAGAAAGAAAAGGGTGATGAGATAGAAGGAGGTTCGGAAAAGAAGAAGCTTGACAATGAGAAGACAACTTCAATTCCTAGTGAGGCTAGGAATCTTGATGGACCGGTTCCTTTTCCCGGTCGGCTTGCGGAGAGGAAGTTGAATGACAAGTTCACAAAATTTCTTAGTGTCATGAAGAATTTGCATATCAACCTCCCTTTTTTTGAAGTTGTGACACAAATGCCATCTTACTCCAAGTTCCTCAAAGATATTCTCACCAACAATAGGAAGCTCAATGATGAGCTTATCACCCTTCCACATCAAGTGCGTACTCTTGTCCAACATAAGATGCCCAAGAAGGAAAAAGACCCGAGAATTTTCACTTTGCCGGTAAAAATTGGGATCATGGAAGCTAGGGGCGCCTTAGCCGATCTTGGAACAAGTGTTAGTTTAATCCCTCTATCCATTGCTCAAAAACTTAATATAGAGATGATCCCTACAAGGAAGATAATTCAATTGACCGATCGATCGGTGAAATTACCTTGTGGAGAGCTTGAGGATGTTCCAATTCAAGTGGGACACATCTACGTGCCTTGTGACTTTGTAGTGATGGATATGCAGGAAGATGTTAACACTCTTAAAACTGTGGGGGCAGTCATCAATTGCAAGAACAACACCATCTCATGTGAAGTGGCCGATGAAAAGATTGTCTTTGAATTTTCTAAGTTGCTCAAGACCCCCATAGTTGAAAATGCTATAGTGTTGGTGTTGTGAATGAAGAGCTAGATCGCTTGGGGAAGGTCGTGATGAGGCCTCAAGATCCAATGATAGAATTCCTTACATGCAAAGAAGAGTTTCACTCTCAAGAGGCTAAATAATTTGTCATGGCAATGGAGGAATCCTCAAAGGAGGAAGTTGAACAAAAAATTGAGATCGAGCTTGAGTCCAAGGAGGAGAAATTGGAGGAGAGTTCTAAGCCTCCTCCCAAGGTAGAACTTAAGCCCCTTCCCCCTTCTTTGAAATATGCTTTTCTTGATAAGGAGGGAAAATACCCTATTATTGTCAATGCTACCCTAGATGGTCTTAATTTGGAAAAACTTCTTGATGTTTTAAGAAAATATAGGGATGTGATAGGGTATAGAATTGATGATATTAAAGGTATTAGCCCTTCTTTATGCATGCATCTTATTCATCTTGAAGATGAACATTCCACCTCCATTGAACCTTAAAGAAGGTTGAACCCCAACCTTCAAGAGGTTGTGAAGAAAGAAATTTTGAAACTACGTGAGGCGTGCATCATCTATGCTATCTCCGATAGCAAATGGGTTAGCCCGGTTCATGTAGTTCCAAAGAAGGGTGGAATGACCATAATCAAGGATGAAAAGGGAGAGGAAATCTCCACCCGGACGGTGACCGGGTGGATAATGTGCATTGATTATAGGAGATTGAACAAAAACACTAAGAAAGATCATTTTCCTCTCCCTTTCATGGACCAAATGCTTGAAAGGCTTTCTAACCATGCTTTCTTTTGTTTCTTGGATGGGTATTCCGGATTTTCCCAAATCCCTATCCATCCAAATGATCAAGATAAAACTACTTTCACATGTCCATATGGGACATTTGCATACCGAAGAATGCCATTCGGATTATGCAATGCTCCCTCTACTTTTCAAAGATGCATGAATTCCATTTTCTCTGAGATGCTTAAAAAAGAAATTGAAGTTTTCATGGATGATTTTAGTGTTGGTGGCTCGACTTTTGACACTTGTCTTTTTAACCTTGAAAAAGTTTTGAAAAGGTGTCAAGAGACGAGTTTGGTTTTAAATTGGGAAAAGTGCCATTTTATGGTCGAGGAGGGCATTGTCCTTGGCCATAAGGTTTCAAAAAATGGCATTGAGGTTGATCCGGCCAAGGTTTCGGTGATTGAAAAGTGCCCCCTCCTACTTCCATCATGGGGGTATGGGCTTTTCTTGGGCATATCGGTTTTTACCGGAGGTTTATCAAAGATTTTTCTTCAATCGCCAAACCTTGACCAAATTACTCAAAAATAGGTCATTTTTAACTTCAATTAGGCTTGCCTTGAGGCGTTTTGTAAGCTCAAGGAAGCTCTCATTTCTTCTCTCGTTGTGCAAGCTCCGGATTGGAGCTTGCATTTTGAGCTAATGTGCGATGCTGGTGACTTTGCATTATGTGTCGTTCTTAGTCAAAAGAAACAAGGACAATAATGTGTCATCTACTATGAAAGGTGGACTCTAGATGAGGCTCAAAGGAATTACACAACAACGGAGAAAGAGATTTTAGCCGTAGTGTTTGCATTCGATAAGTTTCGGTCCTATCTTATATGCTCAAAAGTTATTGTGTACACGGATCACATTGCAGTGCGATATCTCATGACCAAGAAAGAAGCAAAGCCTCGCTTAATCCGTTGGGTTCTCTCTCTCAAAGACTTTCACATGGAAATGAGGGACAAAAAGGGAGCGGAGAACTATGTAGCGGATCATTTGTCTAGGCTACCATTTGAGAACAAGGAGGATGTACCAATTAATGATGAGATAGGATCCACGGCTCTCATGGCTTTGGTGTCAACTTCTACCCCTTGGTACGCGGATATAGGCAACTATCTTGCGTGTGGAGTCATTCCCCCAGAGTACTCTTCTCAACAAAAGAAGAAGTTTTTCAAGGAAGTGACAAGGTACTTTTGGAATGACCATACCTATTCAAGTAATGTGGAGATGGCCTTTATCGGAAGTGTATCATAGATCATGAAATTCAAGGTGTTCTTGCGCATTGTCACTCACTACCATGTGGTGGACATGGTGGTGTTGACAAAACAGTGGCAAAAATCTCTCAATCTTTATTGTGGTGGCCGACAATGCATAGAGACGCCCACCAATTCTTTGCGCAATGTGATAGATATCAAAGGAGCGGAGGCATTACCAAGAGGGACGAAATGCCCCAACAAAGTGTTTTAGAAGTTGAACCCTTCGATGTTTGGGGGGTGGATTTTATGGGACCTTTCGTTTCTTCTTGTGGGAATCTATATATCTTGGTAGCGGTCGATTATGTGACGAAATGGATTGAAGCCATACCCTCACCTACCAATGATCACAAGGTTGTCTTAAGCTTCTAAAGAAGATCATTTTTCCTAGGTTTGGAGTTCCGAGGGTGCTAATTAGTGATGGAGGCTCCCATTTCACCAAAAAGCAATTTGAAGCTCTTCTCAAGAGATATGGCGTTCATCACAAGGTTGGATTACCTTACCTCCCTCAAACTCAAAGACAAGTAGAGGTCTTGAATCGTGAAATCAAAAATCTTCTTGAAAGGATGGTGAACAAATCAAGGAAAGATTGGTCTCTCAAACTTGATGACACACTATGGGCTCTTAGGACGGCGTACATGACTCCAATCGGTACAACCCCCTATAGGTTGGTCTATGGAAAGGCTTGTCACTTGTCGGTTGAGTGAGAATATGATAAGTGACTTTTATGTCACTTTTAGGGTGTTTATTGAGTCGCTTTCCGGCTTATTTTACAATAATTTAGCCCATTTTGTTCTTTATTTCTTGTATTTGCTTATTCTCGTCTTTTATCTTTAATTTGAGTATTTTAGTAGTTTTTATTAGTTTTTAGTTTATCTTTGTAGTTTTAGTTAATAATTTCCCGCTTCTCTCATTTTATTTATTTTCTTTTAGTTTCTAGTTTGTTTTATTTTATTTCATTTTATTTTATTATTTCTTTATTTTTAGCATTTTATTTTACTTTATTTATCTTGTTTTATTTTATTTTAGTTTTTGTCCCTTTTTCTCTCAGTTTTCTTGGTTTGTGTAGGATTGTGCTCGGAGGTCCAAGGTTCGAGGTTCAATCTACGTGTCTCAAGTTTTGAGTCATAAATGGAGTCTCGAATTCAAGCCAAACATCATTCACAAGCTGCTGCCCCTAACCAACCAACTGCCACAACAGCCACCAGAACCCACCACCAAGCCACACCCAATTCATCCAACCAATCAACCAACCAAACCAGCCCCAACAACACCAACACCCAGCAACCCCTGCTCCCTTAGAAACAGCCGCACACCACCACCTTCAGCCACCCAAACCACCAGCTCCACCACTGCTTTCCCCCAATTCACCAACACCAACAGCAATAACCGCACCTTCCCCCAACCACCAAAATCGCCATCAAACGCAACCCGCTCCCACAACAACCAATTAAACCACAAACACCACTTATCAGCCTACCACAATCGCACCAGCACTCCACTCCAACTAAGACCACCGTCAGCCACCTCCAATCAACAACAACCACCCAAATCACCACCAAATTACTCACCTAATAGCCACACAATCCCACACCTCAATTCGACTCCAATTCACACTCACCATCAACAGCCACCACAACTACAACCACCAGCACCTCACCTCCAATACACCAACACTTAGTAGCCCCTGCTCCTCCTTCTCACACCAACACCCCGCAACTTCACTCAACTCAGCGCACCCAAACCACCGTCCACCAAAACCCGTATCAACCAACACCAACACCACCAATCCGCCAGCAATCACCACTAATTTCCCCTATTTCACCAACCATCTCAAGCCTCAAACGCGGGCGCACAACCCTGTCAAAAGGCGCACACAATTGGAGTCCAAAATCGAGTTGAGGCAGTAGCTTTGCGCGACTTGATGTGCGACTTATGTGCGGGCGCGGAATTGTGGGTCAATCACGAGCTTTTCAGGTGATTTTAATGAAAATCGGACGGCCACGATTTGATGCTAGATGATGATAGTGTTGATGAACGGTGAGGATGATTTTTTGCTATTGATATGGTGAATGGAAGCAACCAAATTTGAAAGGGAGAAGATGAGGGTAGTATGGTTGGATTTCGTGGTTTGGACGGGAATTGTGGGTTTTGGGATTTCTTTTTTCCTTTTCATTTTCTTTTATTTTAATTTATTGTAAGTTTTTTTTATTGGTTTTTTAGTTTAGTTTTTTTTTATTTTTTTTATTTAGTTTTATTTCTTCTTAGTTTCTTTCTTTTATTTTATTTTTTATTTAACTTGTATTATAAATACCCCTTTGGGGTTATTTTCTCACTGAACTTTCAATCAACATTTTATTTTAGATAGTTTAGCCTTTATTTTCTCTCTCTTAGGGTTAGTTTAGGAGTAGTGTAGAGAGAGAAAGCTTGGATTTCCAAGGAGTTTTTGAGAGGTTGAAGAAGCAACTTTGTGGAATTTCTTCTCATCTATTCAATGAGCATTTTCTAACTTTCTCATCTTTATTTCTTTGCTTAATTCTTAGTTTTTGCTTTTTTTTGTTGATTTGAGTAGATTAATTAGTTTGTTTGTTTAATCTTGTTTTTATTCATATTTTACCTTGTTTTCCATGTCTTTCTTCATTATATTAGCTTAGGTTTTGTTCTAGGGAATTAGATGAAGGTTATATTAATGAATTGAATGATTGATTGTGATTAGTATGAAATTGTTTCTTGATTATTGTGTATGGGTGATGCTTTTATGGATTAGAATCTTTCTAGCTAATCGATTCTATGCTCTTAATTGTGCTTTTAATCAATTGTGCGAGAGTGATTTGGTTGAGAGCCCTAAATTCTTCCATACCTTTGCTAGGCTAATTGCACGACAGTGAATTAGTTTAGTAGGATAATTAACATGCTTAATTGTGCGAGAGTGAGTTAAATGTGTTGATTGTTCCTAATCAAGGTCATTTTCATCTAATTGTATGATTTTATTGAATGTATTGATGTGATTGGATTC